GTTCTAACATGATCTATTGTGTTCTAACACGATCTATTGTGTTCTAACATGACTTATTGTGTTCTAACGTGATCTATTGCGTTATACCGCGATCTATCGCGTTCTAACGCGATCTATTGTGTTCTAACGCGATCTATTGTTTCTAACGTGATCTATTGCGTTCTAACGTGATCTATTGCGTTCTAAAATGTAGCTCTCACAGGCGCCGGAACTGCGCGCTACATCGCGTAGTTCAGGTGGCTATGAGCTCGTATGCTTGGGTGCTCAAATGTAGCTCTCACCACCATCGGAACTATGCGCTACAACACATAGTTACGATCGTAGCGTGTAGATCAATACGGCGCATCGGCCATATCGATCGTAAATCGTGATTTATGGAGAAGCATAATTGGCGACCGGCGTCCAGTGGTGTCCAGTGGCATCCTGCTCGGCGTCTTTGGTGCATGAAATCAGCGTCCTCGACCTATGTTGTGCCATGCTCTACAGTCTGGCATTTAGGATGTAGCAAAAAATGAATGGCTAATAAAAATCACCGTATGAGCAACTCTGCTCTACGTCACTCTCAAAACACCCCACTACACGCCAGTAACAATGAAACATCACAAACTGTTGGTCTGTTGCCATATTTATTTAAAAGCTTTCAGAATGCAAACCTATAAATCCCTATATTCTGATGCTGTGTGTGACTAAATTGCCATACCCAGGATGGTGCTGTTTTCCGTGGATTAATCCGGCGTAAACAAGGCTCTGCGAACTTGCACCGGCGTACGCCTTGGCGTACATCAGGAATAATTTGTGTACTTGAGGTACACCCCCAGCGTACATCAAGAAAAATTTGTGCACTTGGCGGCGGCGCAGACACCCGACGTACATCAGGAAAAATGTTGGCGCTGCAAGCCTGCAGCGTATCGCGGTCCCGCCACTACATTGTACAATACACGCATACATTTCTAGGGCTGCGAGCGCAGGGCATGGTAGTACAAATAGAAATTGTTAGCTAACAGTAAATTGGGCATTTTGTGAGACTAATTCCGGCTCCCAGCTCTGGCTGCCCTTCAAACTTTACTAATTCATAATTCCGACCCCCTTGTGTTCGAATTCTGATCGCTGTGTGAGCTGTATTGGAATACGACACAGCTTGGAATTAGTAGACTATTGAATATTGAACACTATTTAATTAGGCTTTTAATTAAGAGCTATTAAGCTTTTAATTAAGAGAATTTTAATTTTTGCACAGTGAGTGCACACAGCTTGTAACGAGCTGTGTGTCTGATTCCAAGCTGTGTCTGAATTAGTTTTTATGTGTCTAAAACCGTCTCTTAACTCAATCATCTATTAATTTATTTACCATTTGAAATCAGCAAGTACAAGTATACTTAAAGGATTCCTAATATATTCACAGACTTATTTAAAAGTCTCAAACCATAATATTCTTTCTACACAGTTTATCACTATTTGGTAGAGCAAGGTCAACTATCAACTTTGACACGTTTTTCGATGTTCTCAGGCTCTCACTGGGTGACGTGCACTGCCACTGTCTCTCTTTGGATCTTAACATTTTGCCCACCAGACAGCCCATTCATATGTTTAGTTCATCATACATTTAGTTCATTATATGTTTAGTTCATATGTTTAGTTCATGATATGTTTAGTTCATCATGTGTTTAGTTCATATGTTTAGTTCATCATATGTTTAGTTCATATGTTTAGTTCATCATGTGTTTAGTTCATATGTTTAGTTTAGTTCATCATATGTTTAGTTCATCATTTGTTTAGTTCATCATTTGTTTAGTTCATCATATGTTTAGTTCATCATACGTTTAATTCGTCATATGTTTATTTCATCATATGATAATATCTACGCAGTTCAGTTGTGGCGAGTTAAGTGGCCAACACATATAAACTTGAAAATAGAACACTTGCAGAGAGTAGCTGGAGCTTGAGTATATACCAGTGTAGAATAAACTGTTTTGTTGATCAACTGATAGACTAAACTAAAGGGTCCAGTTTTACTAGTTTACGTTAGTTTTGTGGATCCATTGCCGTGGCTGTATATATATTCATTTTTATATATATATGGCAATATATAGTGACAGTATAATAGTGACAGAATAAATCATTTTAATATGTATAAAAAATTTTATATATTAAAAAAATTAAAAAAAAAATTTTTAATAATAAAAAATATAACAAGAAATTCATTGTACATGTGTTACATCGGAGGCACTGGCCTCTTTGGAAGTATCGTCTTTAACAGGTAATTTTTAAATGCATATTATTAGTTTTAATTGCTCCTATATCTCACCACTGAGAGATACACCATTTGATTTGTATTGAAAAGATCTTTTGATTGTCAAGCCATTTTTTTCAATTTTGTTTTAGTTTGGATTATACATTGCAAAATGTGAGGGGAGGAGGGGGAAACATTTTGAAAATTCATAATTTTTTAGAAAAATCATCATAACAAGAGAATCAAGAAAAAATTTGAAAAAGTGGCTCAACAATTGCTAGATATTGTCTTTACAAATCGAATGATGTGTGTTTTGATGTTGTAGCACGATATTTGTAGGAGGAGATTCTAAAGTACCCCCTTTTTGGCTGTTTTCTATGAATTTTACGTTTTCCTTCATTTTTTTCAAAAAATTCACACAAACAAAATAGTTGTCATTTTCAATTTTACATATGTGTACTACCAAGTTTGGAGATGATCCTTCCCTAAATATAGAAAATAGATTTTGACTGGTATGCTCCTCTTTAACCAAAACAAGTGATCCCATTTCCAGCTGGTTTCTTAGAAGGTCAGTCCATTGAAATATACACCAACTCTGGCAGTATCAATATTTTGAATGTCTACAACTCCTGCAAAAATATATCGTTAGAGCAACTTCAGCATTACACTAATCAGCTCAGTAATAGTTTTATTCTCATTCATGATCTGAATGGACACTTACCCCTGTGGGACTTCCAAAAGAGATACAACCTCACAGGCTGGAGGAGCATTGAGGAGTTATTTGAAACACACAACCTTATACTGCTTAATGATGCAGACACTCCTAGTTACATCAATCATTGTACTGGCTCAACTTCATATCTTGAGTCTACTTGTCCTCAGTGAGCTGCATTGGGATAGTGACATATGCAGCAATCACTTGAACCTTAGTAGTCACTTTTGGCTTCAGAGTGTACCAAGTGGAGTACCATATATATTTTACCTGGGAAAAATTGAGCCTTGAAAAAAAAAGCCAACTGGGCCAAGTGGACAACCTTGTTTAAGCAAAATAGCCAACTTTCAACTGATATGTACCTTCCTCTACCGTAAAATGGGGTAACTTAGACCGGCGGGGTAACTTAGACCACTTTTCGTTTTTTTAACAAAAACCCCCGCAACTCAAAAACTATTTGACATAGAAAAATTTTGTCAATGGGCATTAAAGGCAGAGAGGCAGGAGCCAGCAATTTATGGTGAGTGAAGCTAGAGTATAGACCTGTATTTTGCATGTTTCAATTCAAGTTTAATTTAGCTAGTAAGAAAATGGCATCATTTATAAGAAAAAAAGTGGTCTAAGTTACCCCATTTTACGGTATATGTAGAAACCATAATCATTCCATCACTAATAAAATCATTTGAGTCAAACTGTGAAAGAATGCATACCAAGGACATCAGGCACAAGACAGTGCAAATGAAATACCCCATGGTGGGATCAGGAGTGCAAGAAAGGAGACTCTGTCTGGCATAGATCCGGGCGGGGGGGGGGGCCTCTGCTGTTTGGCCTGACCCACGAGTATGCTGGGCATCCGGCTGACGTGCAGGCCAGGATAACCCCACAACGTAGACGTGGCAGAGATCGGGGGCCGCAGAAGATTGCCTCCTGCATCGTGGCGACTGACGCTATAAACGCAATCCTAGAAGCCCCACCACCGGCGATTACATCAGTGGAGGCCACACTCCCTAGCCCCTACTGCTACCGGTTGGCGCTATCCCAGCTCCGCTTGGGATACTGCAGCTCCCTGGAGTCCTACTCTGCTAGGATCGGATGCTCCCCTAGCTCTGCCTGCCTGGAGTGCTGGGATCCCCTCCAGTCCGTCCAGCATCTCTTTGCTTGCCCTGCCTTCCCCACGTCTCTCAGCGCCTCCTCACTGTGGGACAGCCCCATGGAGGCAGCAGCATTCCTGGCCACCCTCCCTGCCTCCGCCCTTCTCCCCCCTTTTCCAGTGCCTGCCTCCACCCTTCTCCCCCCTCTTCCAGTGCCTGCCCCCACTCACCACCTGAGCCTCCCCCTAGTAAGCGTGATGGGTGCAATGAACAACAACAGGAGTGCAAAGCTGCTGTTGAAGACAAAAGCCAGGAACAAACTCTGAAGTCATCCAACCCTTTCAAACCTGATTCACTTCTAAAGATGTGTTGCAGTTGCAAAACACCTGGCTGTGAGGAAGAAAAGGGAGAGTGGGACCAAGTTAACTGAGTCCCTGTGCTGCACCACAGCCACCTCCAAGGTGTGGAATGCCATCAAGAGCATAGGTTTGAAGCAGTGCTCCAGGAGTTTTTCAATTGAGAAACATACTGCCCTAAATCAAGAAATTGCTTAAATTTTCTCAAGCACATGCAGCCAAGGTTTCTAAAAGAACTCTTGTCTGCAGGGTGCGGAAAGGAGCTCTGTGGGGCATGGCAAGCAGTTCTGTCAGAACTGCCTGTCTGCAGGGCATGGCAAGAAGGTCTGTGAGAACTATTTTATATATTGTAGGTATATATATTATTGATAGATAATACAAGATTAATGTTTTTCTATCACAATATGTTAAACCTAAGCATTAAATTTAGTTTTTGTATGTAAAAATATGAGACTTTCATTAAACTTTCTTATTTTTCCTGGGGTATCAAAAGATCTTAGTTTTCATGGATTAGATGGGTAACTGGGCAGCAATCTGGGCAATAGGTAACATAATCCTAATTAAAAAAAATTTGAAATGTTTCCATGATGCTGATGTTCTAATCTATAAAATTTTACAGAATGAAGTTAATTTCTTAATTTTCTCAAGATGTCCTCTCTAAGTCAAAAAACTGTATTTGTTATGGACCATACTCTAGCTGCTTCTTCTGGTGTGCAACTTGACATGGAAAGTTTTTGCAAGCCTCGGCTTTCTGGAAGTGGAATGTCATTGCCCCATGCGTCTCACTACATTCCCCTCCTCCCTGTGGACAAGACAATCTGGACATGTGCTGTTGAGGCTATTACTGAATACTGCAGGTTAGAACCTTTGCTGCTGAACAAACTCCTTACTTATATGGGAACAATATAGGTACCGGGTAATCACTTTTGCTATCAGAAATTGGACCACCAAATTCAGTTGTAGGATTTTTAGCAGATTATGCCATAGTCTATTAAGGCTTCTTGGCATTTTCAATGAAATTCTGAAAAATTTTCATTTCTAATAATACCTACAGGTAAGCACATTGTGCTGTTGAAACCATTTTACAAAAATCAATGAATTTATAGCTAAACACAAATTTAGAAAAATAATAGAAAATAGAAATAGTTTTCTGAATTTCTCTTTTGACGCAAAAAACTAGCTGCTGATTGATTTTCATACATCATCGATTTTCAACTATAAATCAGCTCACATATCTAGGATAATCTAGATATACCTATGTATGATTGACATAGTGCCATCATCTGTGAAATAAACCTAGGTATACATTCAAAGGAAAATTCAGATCATTGATTTAATATTTCAAAATTAGGTACTTTTTTATGTAATAATTATAATTTTGTATACCATAATTTCTTAATTTTGTTGTGTAAGAAACTGAATGTCAGCTTAGTACTTCAGATGTATATATCTGCCTTATTCATATGGTACTTGGTTTTTCCCCAAGTAGTACAGGATTACTCAGGAAAAACCAGAACCTTTACAGCCACTATTCATGGATAATTTTTATTTTAGTTGCATAATTTATTATTTTTATTTGTTTGATTAAACTTGTAGAAATGCCTTGTTGAATTTCAATTATTTATGTACCGTAGTCTTATCTATACACTTCTGTGATCCAAAATGTTTTAAGAGATCACACAAGAGAAACAACAGAATTGCAATACTGTAAATCATGAAAGGTCTGAATAATCAAAAATAAATAACCTTATTTGCACATGCCATGTTGGTAAAATTTATTTATTTTATTGACTGGAATTTGTTTTTAGAATTCACTCTACTCTTCTAGAGTAGAATTCTCTACTAGAATTCACTCTTCTAGGTACTCTTCTTCACTTTGTTAAGAGGCCATCATCATGTTCTCTGATGAGTGGTTGTACATTTATAGGGAATATTGCTGATTGAACAGGTCTTACACCAATATAAAGGTTTAATTTTTACACCAAGCCTGAAATTCTAAATTAAATTATTTGTATTTCAGAATTGTGTGGGATATTTTCCCTGGGACTCGGTTCATCAGCCTAATGAGTATTGGAGGAGGTGCAGTTGAGAGGCTGAGCTCCTGGCATCAGGACCAAAGTTTGAATGCCATCATGCAGGTATCTTGTTGTGTTTTTTCCCATGTTTTTTGCACTTGGTGAAGATGTCTTGGATATGTAGGTTTCTGAAACCACTCTACAGACCAAAACACTTTCTATGTTTTTTTTTTTTAATTTTGCCAGGTTTTCCCAAGGACCATTTAATGTTGTAACATTTCAGCTAGTTGTTTGCTAGTTTCATGAAGAAGTATCTCTTCCTCAGTCTTTCATGCTTGATCCTTTTAGTCTTTTATAATTTCTCAGATTGATAGATTCAACTCTCTAATGAAAGAACTTTCTTACTACTAAGTTATTAAGCTCATTGTCGGTTTTTATGTCAGTTTCTTCAAAACAGTTGAGCTGGTTTAAATAATTTAATAAAGTGGATAAAGATACAGTGTTTTAATAATAGGATTTGCTTTGTTTCAAACAGAATTGCACATAATCAATCATACTGCTGTAAATATTATTCTATGGGCCTGAAAATGGATGAATGTAGTACGTGGATGGTTATTGAATTTCACCCCATGTGCATCTCGTCTCTTACATTTATTCATTTCTCTTCTTTTTTTGTCATGAAAATTTGTACATTTATTTGATTCTCTTATAAATAAGTCATTGCTTTGTACAGTACCTACTCCTAATAAAGAAAATAATTAAATTAAAAATTTACCTTACTTTTTCGAGCAGCCATTTTCAGAATACATGACAGATCCATTCTATACACCATCTGACAAGCCAATTATTTGATGAACATTAGAATATTGTACTGTTTTGATTATTACGGTATAGATTTATTGGGGTATGAGCTGCATTCTAAATCCATATGGCCATAAACAAATGTAGTATGTGAGAAGGTGATTTAATGGTGTTCATAATTAGCATATGTATATCGTGCCACTTAATCTAATTAAAATCAGTTAATGTAAGACATTTATTTCATTATAATAAAAGTTATTTTGTTGTTGAAACATCGTGTATTATGCTGTGTTGACTTGATTATTATAAGTAGTTTGAGGTGCTTTACTTTAGCCTAGATTTAAAACTGATGTTTTCACAAGATTGTATCTGTTTAATTTCTTACCAAAATAACAAGCACATGCACATAAATTGCATCAAAAGTGTATGCGTTACGGTAATTTGAGTTCTGTGTGTGCGTTAATTTGAGTTCTGTGTGTGCAGTTGTTGATGGTGCTGGGGCCGGCACGACCAGGGACTGCAGACCTGTTGTCAGGCTGCTTGGCGGCACTCCAGAACCTCACAGAAGTCACGCCCGCTCAGAAGCTTCAGACGCAGCCCGTGGGCAACAAGGGCAGGGTCGTTGTGGTTACAAAGCTGCACAGCGACGATGAAGCACGTCTCTATTACCAGAAATTCTGCGACTTAGTTGCCAATGTCAACAGGTCTGTGGATGGCGATAAGGTACCGATTGCTCACGTTCAGTTAGTGCTTCTCAGTTTTATTGGAGAAAAAGAGCCGAGCAGAGTGAACAACGGGAGTTTAAGTGGCGGTGGCAGTGGCGTCAGTGGAGAAGTTGTGGAGATGCAATGTGGCAGCTGCGTTGCTGCTAAACTTTGTTCGTTGGTGGTTAGGCACTACAACCTCGCGTCAACCACAGTCACGGGCATTCCTATGAAAGAGGAGCAGAACGCCTCGTCCTCAGCAAATTATGATGTCGAGCTTTTCCATCCTGCTGAAGCCCATGCAGCCACGGCAGGCGATAACAGCATTCGCACGACGCGTCAAGACACAGACTACCCCACCGTCACCCTCAAGTGGTCCACTCCCAGAACCAATGCCAGTCAGGAACTGCACCAGTGCAGCACAGCCTTCAGAATAACTTCTGTAGATGTCAACAGCCGACCCTCCTCCTGCCTTACAAACTTCCTCTTGAACGGTCGATGGGTAATGTTGGAGATGCCAAAGAAGACCCCCACACAACACACCAAAGTCATGAGCCACATGCTCGCCGCTCACGGTGGTGACATATACATACATACTCTGCTGACAGCCCGTACGGTCTTAGAAGACCCTCCGTCCATCAGCGAGGGTCAGGGTGGAAAAGTGACAGATTATCGTATCCCGGACTTCGCGCAACTGATCCGCGCCAACATGTTGGTCCCTTATGGCAAGAACGGCCCCGAGCGCAGCCGCGAGCAGCTCGACCGCCACACCAAACACTTCCCCATCACGCTGTCCCAGACGACGCTCTTCTCTATAGGCCCTCCAATTGAATCTTTACTTAAATTCATCGTGCAATCGGAGTTAACGGACGATGAGGTTCTTGAATGTAAGCAAGTTATATTCAGCTTACTCAATGCGGAGGTACAAGGTGATAGTCTTAATACATCACACATAAGAACCAAGGGCCTGAAGAAAGAAGATCAATATAAAGCCATGTGGAAAGAATTAGAACGCTTTCTTTTGGATCACAACAGTTCCGCTAATCACCAAAAAGTTTACGAGTGTTTCTTGCACTGCCACAGTAAAGAACCAGTGAGTGCTTATGACAGCAGTTCTGGCGCCAGCAACCAAGAGTCAGTGAACATCGACCAGGCGCTGGAGGAGCTGGACGCTGCAGTGGCAGCTAGTCTACCACGACACGGCGGCGGCAGCAAGCGTCACCATGCCAATGAGACATCGAGCGACGGCAGCAAGAAGCGTCGCGTAACGCAGCCCTCCATCACCAGCTCCACTTCTCCCTCCGTCACGTCGGGCATGTCGCTCCTCACCATCATGATGCAGAAAATTAAGTCGTCGGAAGGAAAGTGTTTGCCTTTTGCTGGACAATTGAAAGCTGAAAATAACGTCACAAAACTTTATGCAAATTTCCAAAAAGAGAAAGATAAGGAGGATATGTCATCAAGGAGAAAGTAATCGTGCAGTGGTGTTTAATATTCACTTCTGGTGATCAGGGTGCATTGCATCAACGCGTGTAGGTTTAAATTTTATTGGATAAGTCATTTTAGGAGGCCGGACGTTTTTTGTGATAGCACTCCTAACTATTATGCCAACTTGTGGATTGAATTGACAACAAAAATTTACGTACTACGGTACTTTTTTATTTATGTCCTCTTCCATTCATTGTGATTGAACAGATCTATCCAAGATTTAATCTCGAAGTAAGCAAAGGCTGATTGCTTAGCTGTAATTTTCTTTAATGACAGCATAGCGCAGTTTTAACAGTGAGTGCCGTTTTAACAAAAAATAGATAATTTTTTCCCTGAAATAATTTATTCACTTGATATGTAGTCTTAATATTGAGGCATTTATCGTATCTTGAGATCAGGTTTTGTGCGCCATCAATTTCTTAAATAAACTTCGAGACAGCAAAAAAACTTCGCAGCTAAGGACCAAATCGTGATTAGTCTCTTCTATTTCAGTTATCAGTCCACTTTTTAAATCAAATCTCTCGGTTATGACTGGAGGTCTCCCATCATGAATATTTCTGCGGCCATATCTTAAGACCCTATCCTATTTCCGTACCATTTCATTACTCATGATCTGTTCACCATACACTTCACTGACTTAGCGCTGAATTTCGACTGACTTGAAGCATTGAACACAGAGAAACGGCACGCACTTCACAGTCGGCGGGATTCTAAATAAATGGGGGCATTTTAAATTCACGCCAGATGTAGCCTCGATCGGATGGTTCTGTAATAGCGTCTATGGCTTGCCAAAAGATATAGATAACTGACGTATATACGCTTAACGGCGGCAGCAGCACTGCAGCGGAGTAATTTAAAAACTATATTTTATAAACACGCCTCGTATAGCCGAGTTGACACCCGCATATTCCCTGAAATGGCCTTTCGCGAACTTCTGCCGGCCACCTTCTATATCGACTCCATATCGTCTGAGTACAAAAAAAAATTTCTGGCCAGAATATGAAATCACCATATGAAATACCGTACGTGCGAAAATGTTTTTCATCACATTTACGAAAGTCTCGAACCCAAACGCAAGGCCTAAGTATGCTATGGTCGCTGAGATCCGCGAGTATTGAATGAAGTCTTTAATTATCCACACAAAATTGATCAACTATGTAGCTGCTTTATTTCCGGAGGTATGTCAGAGGCACATATTTGATAGCGAAACTGCATAACTGCCTTAAAATACGTAGCGTAATAAAGTAACCGTAAGTGTGTAGTGTAGAGTTTTATAGTCCTAAACTCAGCTTGGGATAAAGACAGGACCTAATCTAAATCTCAGGGCGGACTTATGGTTGAAATGCAAGATTCAGCCGCTTGAAAAAAAAAAAAAAACAAAATCGGCGAAATGGTCCCAGCATAAAATTGAATTTTAATTTCATTCATAAAGGGGTACGCAACTTGCTGTACAAGTTGCAGAATGAAAGACACGTTTGCAGCGCCGAACTTTAACACGGTTAACTACATAACTGCAAAATTCACTCTACCTTGTCACGGAATATTTCAACTAAAGAAAAAGCGTTTTTGAAATAGAATCTACATTATCCTGTCAAGTTGTCATATGCTCCGAGGTAAATTTCAATGTCTTCTCTTGCCAATTATTAAAGTCGTTTTCTAATAGGTACCTCAATACTGCGATAAAAATAGGATTTGTTTCTGAACAGATAAATCTTTCTCTTAAAAACATTCTATATTCTGTGTATCATAAACAACTGTACAATAGAGCATTAAGAGCACGAACAATTATTACACTTTGAAACCGTAATCTGAACCACATTAACTCCTGCAGATCTAGAGATCATATACGTAGTAAGACAAGTGCTCCATAGTTCGTAAATAAAAAATATATAAAATTCCATAAGAACCTCTAAGATCTAACACGCCTCCAATCGCCCATTTAAAAGTTGCCCCAGAACTGAGCAACCTGACAAAATACGCGTGTGATCTCCACCGCTTGAAACCTTCAGAACAAAAATATAAACAATACGATTTGAATTCAATCCATAAAGTAACAGTCGAGAAAATAATGTAAGCATCGGAATATAAGCATTGACTAACGAGCTCCGTCATATCTACAAGACTGCCATATTTTTATGCACATCCAATTTCGCGCTTAAAGCCAAGATCACATTTGGAAACGCCATAATGAGTTCTTAGTAGCTAGTGGCTGAAAATTTGGGCCACGATACGAGTATGTGGATTTAATTATTAGCATTATTACCGCAGATGTTCAATCTATAGATGTTCTTATTATGATTTAAATCGAGTTGCAATACAGAAATAAATAGAATCCGTCAAACGAAATTAATATATGTATTGATGCTCCTAGGTTGGATTATTGCACTCAGAGGAGTTGCGTTGTTCTGCGCGCTACGACGTTAATGAGGACGGATAACAGCCAGCACGTGGCGGCGAGGACGACCAGCGCTGCTAGGGCCAGCAGGATCTTGTTGCGCACGTGGCGCTTAGAGGCGCGCAGCGTGCGCACGATATCCTCAACTTGGCTCCTGTGGAGAGGAATAAAATCAACTTGGCTCCTGAGGGGAGGAATAAAATCAACTTGACTCCTGAGGAGAGGAATAAAATCAACTTGGCTCCTGTGGAGAGGAATAAAATCAACTTGGCTCCTGAGGGGAGGAATAAAATCAACTTGGCTCCTGACAAAAAAAAGGTCTCAATGTGAAGCAGACTATTGTGCTGTGCACAGTTCTTAGTTAAGCTAAATAATTGTCGCGAAAGCGTCAAGTAATTTCTATGTCCCTACACAGATGAGACAATGGCACAATGCGCAAAAAATTGAAAACGAAAGACAAAGTTTAAAAATTTTTCAGAATTATTAATAACAAAATAAAGGTAACATTTACTTGAACTTGAGTGGGCAATGGCAATCATTGAAGCTAAACGATGCGGCACTCGACAATAGGAACTTTCAAAGCACACAATTCCTATCATAAAAATTTGCCGCAACATCTGAAGCAAATCTTTTGCAGATCTCACTCAGCTAACATTTGAAGAGAAATTATATCTGAGGGTGACAGGAGGTAAACTCCTGAAAACGGGTAATATGAGTAAATTATTGCCGTTTCGTCACCAAAAATGTTACCAGACCATTGATGGGATGACATCTAAACGGTACCAGACCATTGCAGTGACCCGCACCCCGGCGGCTGGTCCACCGTGCTGCTGCCGTCCCGCAGCTGACCTGCTGTAGCACGCCCTACCTCGTGTACTGACGGGCGCCCTACCTCGTGTACTGACGGGCGCCCCACCTCGTGTATGTAATGACGGGCACCCCACCTCGTGTACTGACGGGCACCCCACCTCGTGTACTGACGGGCACCCCACCTCGTGTACTGACGGGCGCCGGAGTTCTCAATGACGAAGTCGGCACGCGCAGTCTTGAGGGACAGCGGCATCTGGCACTCGATCCTCTCCTTGGCTTGCCGCTCAGTGTAGCCTCCTCGGGCCTGCAGTCGCTTCAGCTGCTCCTCAGGATCACTGGCAGAAGAAAAACAATGCATTTGAAAATATCGTTACACACCAGATAATACATCAGCAGGCAGTAGCCCACTAAATTAGAGAAGCTACCTACTCAATGTAATTATAATAAGCATTCTATGAAAGCCTGGTAGTTGAGTAATAAAAGTTGAGAGTGGTTCAGTGATGTTGAGCAAATTAACTGATTTGGCCACACGAATTCGTAGGCCAAGCTCCTAAAATTATGGCTGTTAGAGTGAGCAACCAAGGTAAAGAAACGTCGGATTGGTTACAAAGAGCCTCTCTGATGAGACCGAGTACAAGTTAGGAATACTTATGTGGACCTCATAAGATTTCATTTCGGGCATCATCTTAAGCAAAGCCGGCATTACGGGAGGTTCAGCACCGGAGTGCGAGCAGTGAAGGCACGTTAAGTGGGTGCCTCGTCACTTGAAATGCACTGCAGCCAACAAGGAAGTACTGAGCTCGGTTTGGTTAGAGTTGATGAGTTGTAGAAAAACGTTTGGGACTTTTTGACGCCGCGCACAGTGTGACCCTGTGACCAGCACAGTGCATCGCGAGGAAATAACGTAAACTGTGAAAGGATTTTACAGTTGCCTGCGAGGACTACAACGGCGTATGAGGCACCGATGCTGACTGAGTACGGCTGCTGTCATATCAGGAACATCTAATTTCAGCCATGAGGGCTCTTTGTCTCGATGCGCCTATTGTAGATGCGAGACGCGGCCCAGGGGAAGTTTAAAGCAAGGAAACATGTTAAGCATCGTCTCACATGTAGTTTGAATTAAACTATTCGACTTAGAAAATTTGATGCCATTATTTGAGACTAGGAGGGTTTTCTTATAGAATTCTAATTGCCTAACAGTCAACAATGAACGTGAAGGACAGACTAATAAATCAAGTGTTAATCAATACATCTAAACCTTGTTTGAAAAGTTTTTAGTAATGTCAAAAATTAAATTTAGAGGATTAAATGTCCAAACCAGAAGAATTTGATGAACAAGAGGCTAATGTAAACCTACCTACTTTACTGAGGTTTCTACAACTCATACTAAGGTTTCTTAATTGCACAAACTACTCATGCTGAGGTTTCTTAATTGCACAAACTACTCATACTGAGGTTTTTTAATTTGCACAAACTACTCATACTGAGGTTTCTTAATTGCACAAACTACTCATACTGAGATTTCTTAATTGCACAAACTATTTATACTGAGATTTCTAAATTGTACCAACTTATCGTACTGAGGTTTCTTAAGTGCAAAGGCAGAGCACCAACCAGTTAACAACAATAGTCTTGTAGATGTAGGGCAGGGCTTTCCCCGTCTCGAACAACAGAGGCAGATCAAGCACGACCATCTGTTCACCTGAGGGAAAAAAGATGATCACTTCAAACTATTGCAAGCCAAATTCACTCTCATACTGATATTCGTTATCATAAAATTTAACTATCCTATAACTTATGCTATTAGAAGTTTTTCTATATTAACATATTTGGAAATAATCATGATAAATGAAATATTTGTCCTGACTTCAAAACTTTCATGATCATCCAGTAAAAAATTAGAGCATGGTGTATTGAAGACATTGCTGGCTGCATCAATCTGGTGTTTTTTTCAATTCACCATAAATAGAATAGAGTGACAATTCTATTTCTATACTGACATAATTTCAACGTTTTTCGTGGTGCTAGTGTAGCCTAAAGACTGAGCTTTTTTAATAACTTAATAATAATAAACTTATTAAGGCAATCATTCATCAAAATTTGCAAAACACTTTTAATAGTTTGCACGCTCGTTATTATGTCAGGTTTTCAGCTTTTTTACTTCATAGTTAATCTGAATTCCCTACTAGTAAATTCACAATCACTTTCCATTTATTTTTGTACTATTGGGGGGTTTCCCTTGAAGTAAATCTTTTTCGTTGTGTTCAAAGATCAAATTTCAAACATATTTTTGTGCATTTCATTTCCTGTTAATGATTGAATATTTCATTCTCCATGTGCCGCATCTCCCTTCTATTTTCATCAAATAATTTCTAACCTTACCACCTTTTTTCATACAATTTTCCATTCTTGGTTGCCAAAAATATATTTCTGTCAGTGAGACATGGCAAGTAATTTTCCTCCCTTAATAAAGTAGCAACAAACTTGTCACGAGGTCCTGAGCTAAGTAACTGAAGAACATGTTTGTAAACAAGATTTGAAGGAGCATTGTTGGGACAACATCCATTCATTAATCTGGCAGGAGGACATGTCTTATAAATAATGGTTGCTGCAAATGTAATCACAAATTTTAGGAGCATTTAATTTAATAGTAACCATTAATGAAGTGTCTGAAGACTTGGCGCTTCATTTTGGAGTAAATTTGAGGATGAGTGATAGAGTTGATTAGCTTGCGCTTCTCTTCATCAGTGAAGATGACAGCCCCGAGCTTGCCTCTGTCCAATTCTCCTGCAAGCAGTGAAAACTGTTCTAAACAAAGCAAATATTAAGATGCAGATAAAAAAATTTGTAGAAAATTTTGTCCTGCATTAAATAGGTATCTATAAAATATACTCCCATTCATTTGGTACACCTGATCAAAACTCTTCACCCAGGCAATTGCAAGATCATCCAGATTGCTAGATTCACTCGAGTTGGAAAGTGCTGAAAGAGATGAAAGTGCCGACCATTTGCACAGACAATACAATACACACAAAGAAAGCATGGGCTACTAAATAAGTAAGATTGTCTTCACATTTATTCTTGTGGCTGCTTAACCCATGCTCTCCCCTTAATTTTCATGGATGTGGACTGGATAAAATAGGTATCATAAAAGCCATCACAGAGCAGAATGGATAGATTAAATGGTACTGTAAAAAACAATATTGGTATGTAACACCCACAATTTTATCTTGGTAGAACATTTGATTGACTATTACAGCAATAATTACACACTGATTAATAATAATAATGTTAGTATATGTTACAGCAATTTTTACAGTCCACCAATGCTCATTTTAATGGATGTTCCACTGTGAAGAGTACATTACACCGGCAGTTCTGGTGATCAGAGTATACTATAACAGTTGGATATAGTACAATCCTACTGCAGTGGTACGGTACTAATTAGGAGGAGTAGGCACTGGAGAAAGTTAATAGGTAAACCAAATTAATTTTAAAATGCATCCACCAAAGTAGAGATGAAATGCATGTAAATGCATCTGAAAAAAATATCATACAATTTAATTCACATTTTTTATGTCCTCATTACTTTTATATGTAGTATAAATATAACATGAAAAATGCAATTTTATGCAATTCATCTGATAATAACGAATGTACTTGATCAATAATGATACTCCAAAATTGATATTGCATGGAAAGATGTCAATATATAATATATAATGGCAGTTAATCATTTATTTGTGAATAAGCAGTATTACTAATGTACAGTGGGGGGAAATAAATATTCGTACACTTGAAAAATCGTATTTTAATGTATGTAAGTACACAAAATCAACAGGAAAAGTGATTTAAATTATGTATAGAGACGCATAGTATTCAAAAATACTATCAAAGTTTTTTGTTGCATTGAGATTTAATTTCTTTTGATAGTATTTTTGAATACTATGCGTCTCTATACATAATTTAAATCACTTTTCCTGTTAAGTTTGTGTACTTACATACATTAAAATACGATTTTTCAAGTGTACGAATATTTATTTCCCCCCACTGTATATATTTAGGTACAGTTCTAGGGCCCTGGAAATAGATAATTGAGATTTCTTTTCTTATATTGGTATAAATTATTTGATTCTCAATCAATATTTTTGTTACCACACTTTCTGATAGATTTTGGTCAAGCATCAAGGTACCACTGTTATAAAAAATAGTTATCAATCATTACAAATAATGTGGTAAAAAAAATACAATTTATGTACAATATATCAACAAGCATCACCTGATACCTGGAAGACATCAGGTCCAAACTCCTTCTGTATTCTTTGATATGCTGGGGTGCCAATTTGAACCACTGCCAAAAGATAGAAGATACTTTTATTTAGATAATTAAATAAAGTAATAACCTAAAATAACTAACAGTAAATCTTCAATGATGATGTATTTCACAGATGCTATTCATAAAATATGATAATATTTAATTTGCCAAATGAATACAATTCTAAAAATTGTAGCTTTTTACCTTCTCTGGCAATGAGGTCTGCATCCACAACTGGCACACCCAACTCTTCTAAAATGCGGCACACAGAACTCTTGCCAGATGCAATGCCACCAGTTAGACCAATCAAGAACATTGTGGAAGGCAAACTTTTGTGGAGGGATAGCTAATGCTCAATTGAACTTCTAAATTAATCCTTCACCTACAAACAAATAAGTAAGAACTAAAATGAACCTAAGGAAATGATCACATACTAGTAATTATGGCACAGGGAAGAATTTTGAAATACAAATTACAATTTTGTAATAGAAGCACCACAGCACTTCAATTCTTTCCTAGTGAGAATAAAATCTTGTTGGCATGAGCTTCATGTATCTTTGAAGCTCACTACTCTGGCCTTCATCTTCATAATAATTCTTAAGTTAACCAATTTTACTGCCAGTGTTTCTGATGTTGCACATGTACAATGAATTTCTAATTTTATTTTTAAAAATTAAGAAAATTAATTTTGAATTTTTTTATTAGTACGGTACCTATAGAAAAAATTAAATTTTAAAAATTATTTATTCCGTCAATTGATTCATGCATTGTCTCTAACTTTACGCAAGTGTGCAAAATTTCAGATCAATTGGAGATGTAGAAGTGTGTTAAAAATTGATTATTATATTTGTAGCAGACAGAAAAGAAGTGAAGTTCAAGGGAAGTGTTGTAATGAATAATTTGCATTTAAAAATTACTTTTTAAAGACAACACTTCTAAAGAATCCAGTGTCTCTGATGTTACACATGTACTATGAATTTCTAATTTCATTTTCATATATTAGGAAAAATTAATTTATAATTTTTTTAACATAAAAGAATTAAATGTTCAAAATTATTCATTCTGTCAATCATTTTATGCATTGTCTCCAACTTAATGCAAGAGCACAAAATTTCAGATCGATTAAACAGGTAGAAGTTTGTTAAATATCAACTTTAAGATTTGTACCGTCAACCGGGGCTACTTGGGACGGGCGGGGTAACTCGGGACAGTCCTCTGACACGGCGTAAAACTGTTATAGTAGCAAAACTAATTGGAATATTGCAAAACTAAATATAGTGGTGTAAACATCAACATTTTTCCTATCTATATACCATAAAATGGGGTAACTTAGAATACTTTTTCTTTAAATGATGCCATTTTTTAACTAGCTAAAATAAACTTAAATTGAAACATGCAAAATACAGGTCTATACTCTAGGTTCACTCACCATAAATTGCTGGCTCCTGCCTCTCATAGTTTTTATGTAATTTAAAAAAAAGTGATGGTCTTTGTTACCCCAGCTCTTGGGGTATCTTACCCCAGCATAGGGTGGTAAAACCAATTATATTTTTTGGTAAAATAACTCCAAATAACTCCAGGTTTTGGTGCATTGTAGTAGAACTCTTCTAGTTACATATGCAAATGACAAATTGCGCTGCCCCTGAATGGGGAAACTTAGACTACCTAATGTCAGCTGTTACAGGGTAATATTGACCAGCTTGGAAATTAAGTTAATAATACCATATATAAGACTGAGTCTGAAACATGTAGAAAAAACATTAATAGGTGTATCAAACAAGAAATATGTTATATATGGTAATTTTAAATTAATTTCCAATCCGGTCTGTTGCCCCCATCAGGGCTGACATTAGGTGGTCTAAGTTCCCCCATTCGAGAGCAGCGCCCCCCATTTGCAAACTATGACACTTTACTCAAATTTGTCATTTGCATATGTAACTAGAAGAGTTCTACTACAATGCACCAAAACCTGGAGTTATTTTACAAAAAAAATAAAAAAATTGGAGGGGGTTCTATGACAGGCTTTATATAATAGCTCTTTTTTTGTGGGTCCCATTTTTCATTTTTTAACCTATTAGATATGCATAATTTGTTTACCTTTCTATTGTGTTACATAGCCTCAGTATTAGGCCTTTAATGCCCTTTGACAAAATTTTTCTATGTCAAATAGTTTTCAAGTTTTGGTTTTTTTGACCACTGAAAATGGTCTAAGTTACTCCGGGAGTCTAAGTTACCCCATTTTACAGTACTAGTATAAAGGAAGTTAAAAAATACTACATTTACTAGCTTTGAAAAATTCCTGAAAAAAATGGTGAAAAATGAAAAGTTACTTCTGCTAAGGTCCGAAGTAACAAAAAATATTTGCCGTATTAAAAAATTTTGTTTAGAAAAAAGTGGCAAAGTGTCAGCATGAAAACTTTATTTGCGGAATTTACATACCTCAATAAAAAAATGGCGGCCATTTCCGCACGGCGGGGCTACTCAGGACGCCCCCAGGGGCTATTTGGGACACCCCCAAAAACGCATTTACAGTAGAACCTCAGTTAGGAAAGGCTCCAGTTAAGAAAAAAATTGATTAAAAACAAAGAATATTGACTACATTTACCTTGCTCAGTGAAAAAATTTCACTTATCAAAAAATTAGTGCATCATTGATCATCACAAAATTGTGCATCAAATGTCATACACAGTGGGGGAAATAAATATTTGTACACTTGAAAAATCGTATTTTAATGTATGTAAGTACACAAACTGAACAGAAGTGATTTATATTATGTATAGAGGCGCATTGTATTCAAAAATAGCATCAATAGAAATTAAATCTCAATGCAACAAAAATTAATGCAACATGTTAACTTCTTTGGGTCAAATAAGTATTCGTACAAAACAACTTTTGACTAATATTTCACACCAGAACATTCCAGAATGTACTAGAAACATGTAGCACGTTCCAGTAATGTAATCAGTAACCATAGTTAACATATTTTGCAACTACCAGATCATTCTGCAACTGCCCGTAGTACAAGAAGGTCTCAAAAATGGCTAAAGGTAAAGAACTAACAAGTTCCCAAAAACAACTAATTCTATCGCGTTGGAAGGAAGGAGAAAGTTATGTGAAGATTGCTAGCCACTTGAATGTTCCTTTTAGTACAGTTGCTTCGTTCATTGGACCCGTGACAGCGTTGAAAACCAGAGACGATCAGGTGCTTCTAGGAAGATTTCTGCACAATCTGCTAGATTATTGGGACGAAAAATCCAAGAAAATCCACAGATTACTCGAGGAGAGTTGCAAAGTCACCTGAGTGCCTCAGGAATTCAAGTAACCAAACGAACGATAAGCAATGAACTTCACAGAAACGAATTAAAATCACTCACCCCAAGAAAGACAACTGGCAGTAGCGACGCGCCTACTCCATCGAACGTCGTTCGAACGAGTTCACAACATGTGACGCTTCCGTCACACTTGTGGCTAGACTCCAAACATGTAATTACTCTCGGTAGAAGCTTTTATTTTCTGTGTGACGAATTCGTCACACCAGGGCTTAAAGGGCTAGAGCGCCGGCATGGCGCACCTACAGGCGAACGTTGCCGAACTCGACCATTCGAGTTATGAACGAGACAAGGTGCGGTTAAACCGACTGTAGTCAGCACGAGTTCCTACGGAACGGGACCTTATTTAAAGAATTATTGGCTGAAATTCATAAAGTAACAACATTTGGCGAATTTTTCCAAAAGTCGTAACAAAAGTAACAACATAAGATCTAATAAGCAAAAAAGTAACACTTTTGTTACGAACGTAACACCTCTGGCTAGAGGCGGGAAAATGATGCGTTGTGAAAAAAAAGTCGCGCTAATCAAAACTGGCACCGCGTAGATTGAGGGTAGGTCGCAAATTTTTTTTCCGCGTTAATCAAAACCGCGGTATTCAAAACCGTGCTAATCAAGGGATTGCTGTATTATTTATTTCTCCAAAACATATGATGGTTGTCACTAAAACATTCCTTTCTGTTTCAGGTATGTTTTTCTTGATCTTTTTTATAGTAAATTCACTTAACCCAATTAAAATGGTGTGAAATTACAAGCCATCCTGTAAGCTTACAGATACAGAAAAAATGCCATAAGGCTGCTGATATGAAGCTTGCAGTGGACAAGGTTGTTGTAAATGCTCAATGGCATGTTCATGGTTACAGTAATATTGCATCAATAATACAGTAATTAATATATATGGTAATATCATATCAATAAAGGAAAAACAAGTAAAAATCACAGAAAATGTCATTTATTCTAACTCTACAAGTCTACAATGAAAGAGGAGGACTTCAGACATCAGAGTACTGTTAGTAATGAATGAGTACACTCTGCATGCTTCAAATGTTTTAAAATGAAGTTTTATTCCAAGTGTCCCGAGTAGCCCCATTCAACAGGGCTACATGGTACACTTTTTTTTTGCTTCTGGCACCTTACGAATAGCATATGGATTTTTTTGGAGAAGCCATGTGATAGCCCTTGCAAAGAGCTTTGAAATGAGCCTAAATTTGTTTATGAAATGTTTCATGGTAAGAAGTTATGAATGAAAAACGTTCAAAATTGTCCCGAGTAGCCCCGGTTGACGCCTGGCGGTAGTCGGTAGTTATATGGCAATACGGACCAAAATTCACAGTGATCAGAAAATTTTTTTTATTGTGCCTTCATTTGCAGTTTTTTCATTTCACCTTCATTTGTGATTTAAACAGCAATACATGCTTAAATTTGCAGTAATCAAGAATTTCTTTCCAAACAAATGAGAAGATTTGAACAAAACTTAGTATTTAAATACCTAACTGCAGCAATGGTGATGTTTAAAATTTTTTGTTTTGCCTTCATTTATGTGTAATACGGTTGTACGTATAAGGCTCTTGGTTAAACCGGCCAGTAGAAAAGCCAGTTGTTCCTAGTCCTATATCTGTATAACTCGCAAACAAAAGCAAACTAGAAAAATTGTCACGCGCTAAACATCACCGTTGAGAGGTTAGGTTATTATATACAAATTTTCGTTGAAATCTGTTCTGTAGTTTGGATAAATTTCTTGATCACCGCAAATTTAAGTGACAAATTACCCGGAGATGCGGGCCAAATATAAGGAAGTGTGAAATCAAGAATGACAATGAAATAAAAAAACTCACAAACAAAGGTGAAATTGTAAAAATTTTATAAGCTAAAAAGTCACCTTCTGGTAGTTAGGAAATTCCTAACTACCAGAAGGTGACTTTTTAGCTTATAAAATTAGTTAGGTAGTTAGGAAATTTACATTCCTAATAGGACTAATATACATTCCTAATAGGAATGTATATCCAAAATTTTGTTCAAATCTGTTCAAAAGGTTTGGAAGTAATTCTTTGATCACTGCAATTCTGCGAATTTTGGCCTGTTTCACAATATAGGGTAAACGCGGTATATTCCGACATCGTGGGTATTTCCGTCACCTCTCTAGTTTATATTATATATATTATATATATATATATTATATATTATATCCTTTATATTAAGCTTTGTTTTAGTTCCATGCGTTCGTTGATGGTTGAAATGGTGACGTCATACATTTGCGCGTCAAACTACTGCCAAAACACAAGGTCTTGGCCATCTAGCA